GCAATTTATCGACTTTTATAAACCGGTTAATTCCCATCGTGTTTCATTGTTTCGTTACGTTTCGTGAGTTATTATAATGAAAAACGCAATCGAAGTAAGCGCTCACCGCACTGGATTATGCTAATGCCAAGGGAGAAGATGAATTCTCGTTATTTCCAATTGTAGCCTGATTTGACTCGATTGTACTATCGTATGTTTCATGATTCCTCCTTGTCTCCGCGTTCGTCAGATCAGGAAAACCCCAATGCCCATGTTTGCTTTTAATCACTTTTGCCGGAGCCCGGACCGTTATGTAATCTCATAAATACGTAAATACAAAAACGCTTCGTTCCGATGCCTCAAGCGAAAGATAGACGCGAACAGGAGAACCTCTCTCCCTCCTTTCCTTTATTCGTCTTCATTCCCGTGCTTTCTCGCGGAATTAATCTACACCGGTTCAACTGAGAAAAAATATAACGCCTTGAATTTTTACTTTTTCTAACTCGACGTTTAACAGTTTTATTCAAAGTTTCGTATATTAAGGATGTATTGGCTATACAGTCAGTCCCAAAAGTTTATGTACCGTAGTGTATGAAAAACGCATTTCCTGTAATTAAAAAGAAATGAGACGTCGAAAGAACAATGCTCATAATATATAGGTACGTGCTAAAAAGTATAGAAGAAAATATCCAATTAATTATTGACGCTGGCGAAAAGCTTTTTGTACAGAAGTTGTAGACACTGACATCCTCTACAAGAAAGATTTTATGCATTTTTCTTCTAACTCCAGTGTTTAACGAGTCAAGTGCAGTTAATTGGCGTTTTATTGGCATTGACGAAATCCGACCGTCTCAGCGTCGAAATGGTGAACTTTTGACACAAAATGTCGTTTTTCCTCAATAACTCCTAAACCGTTCGTCCTACAGGAAAATTGCATATAACCTTTCTTGTAGAGGACGATGAGATCTACAATTCCCATATAAAACTTTTTCGCTAGCATCAGTACTTAACGAGTTATTGACGAAAAACGAAAAAACAGTTTATTGCACATTACTCGTAAACTATTGATACTAGCGAAAAGTTCTTACATGGAAATTGTAGATCTCGTCGTCCTCTACCAGAAAGGTCTGATGCAGTTTTCCCATAGGTCCAACGGTTTGGGAGTTATTGGCAAGAAACGAAAATTTTGCGAAATCTAAAGG